CAACTGACAATCGATTTCTATTGGTGGTTTAGGGAAGACATACAACCCGAAGAAGAACCCTCCCCCCCCCCCCCCGAGTTTGTGGACGATGTTTGACCCCGTCGTTCGCGTGCAACCCCGGCACCACCGCGACTTCTGTCATTCACTTCTCCGGCCCAAAAGCGTCGAACCCGCAGAGGTACAGCCAAGTGGTTTCAGACGACCGTTTTGTATAGATAAGCTTGGCTGTACCTTTGGCTTTTTCAAAAGGCTGTAAGATAAACCAAAAGGCTGCCTTTGTAAGACAACCTACAGAGGTACAAGGCCGCCTTCTCAAAGGACACTTGTAGGATCGAAGAGCTTCTTGGGGGGCAAACACGCGGATTGCCCCCAGCAGGCCCCGAAAGTGAAGGATGCTTACATGCTGCAATCGCCTTCTTGCAAAACACGTGGATCCGGCTAGGGCTGGCAGTCGCGTTTCCCTCAGGGAAGCATAGGCATTCGCGGTCCAGGCTTCAGCAACATATCCTCAACAAGAGCCAGACCCAGGCCCCGGTTGAAAAACATAAAGCACCCCAAAAAGAAGCACGAGCTTTTTCGCAAGGGGGCAGTCCCCCAGCCGGTAGACAGAGCTCCCGAAACGTGTGGAAGAGCCAGGAACCTGGCGCCCTGGATCCTGGGCTTGACGATGCTGAGCCTCAGCAGAGGTTGGAGTTGGCAGTTTGGACTTCCGGTTCCCTGTAGGCCCTCCCGGTTTTTGGAAGGAGAGAATGTGGGCCTTGCCTTTTGTGTGATCTCCATGTTGGTGGCTTGTGGGCGGGTTTCTCAGAGACGTTTCGACATGGCTTTCCCTTTGGACGTCGCGTTTTGGTTTCAACTGGGGCCCCGTTTTTGGAAGGGGAACGCGGCCCTTGCCTAAAATGCGATTTTCCTTTCATTTTCGGGCCCAACTGAAACCATCAGCCTGGCTCATGCGTTTTTCCTTCATTTTTCGGGCCGAACTGAAACCATCCGCCCTCCACCGACATTTTCCGTTTTTTCCGGCAGACGAGGATAGTTTGCTGCCTGGTGGCCGGGCTCTTCAAGTCCTACTTCGTGGGGGTGAAGATGGCCACCCGTCGGAGATCCTTTGGTCCATCGCGTGTTACCACCCCCCCACCTAGTGTGGTTGGTTCAACAGAAGAACAGACATATTACCAGTAGAGCCGACAGAGCCGGTGGGCGGAAGTTTCTAAAGCGAGAAGAGTGCCTATAGGAAGAGCTTGACTTTTTTGTTGGTTGCTCTCTTTCTTTTGCTTTCTTTCTTTCTTTCTTTCCTTTTTTCTTTCTCTCTCTCTTTCTCTTTCTCTTTCTCTTTCTCTTTCTCTTTCTCTTTTTCTCTTTCTCTTTCTCTTTCTCTTTCTCTTTCTTTCTGTCTCTCTCTCTCTTTCTTTCTCATTTGTTTTTTTCTTTCATTCTTTATTGCTTTCTTTATTTTCTTTCTTTGTTTCTTTCTTTTTTCCTGATTTCTTTCTTTTTGCTTTATTTCTTCATTTCTGTCTTTCTTGAATTCTTTCTTTCTTTCTTTCTTTTTTTCTTTCTATATCTCTCTGTCTTTCGCTTTCTCTTTCCATTGGATCTATCTATCTATCTATCTATCTATCTATCTATCTATCTATCTATCTATCTATTTATCTGCGCCTGACCTTGCAAAAGTGCTGCGCCTGCCACGAAATCTGTACTTGACCTTGCGAAAGTGCTGCGTCTGCCACGAAATCTATACTTGACCTTGTGAAAGTGCTGCGCCTGCCACGAAATCTGGACTTGACCTTGCGAAAGTGCTGCGTCTGCCACGAAATCTGTACTTGACCTTGCGAAACAGCTGCGCCTGCCGTGCGCTCTGTACTCACGAAAGTGCTGCGGCTGCCACGATATCTGTACTCGACCCTGCTGATCTATCTATCTATCTACCTATCTATCCATCTATCTATCTATCTATCTATCTATCTATCTATCTATCTATCACCTGACCTTGCGAAAGTGCTGGGCCTGCCACGAAATCTGTACTCGACCTTGCGAAAACGCTGCGCCTGCCACGAAATCTGTACTTGGCCTTGCACGGGCACAAAATGCTGCGCCTGCCACGAAATCTGCATCTCAGGTTGCCAAAGTGCTGCGCCTGCCACGCAAAATACACCTCCGAGAAACCTCCGAAAACGTCCGCGCGGCCGTGCCAGTGGGCAACATTCTGCCCCCGTGGCGAGACCATGGCGAAGATTCTCCGTGTCCGGATCTTGTGACTCAACTTTTCGTATTACGGCAGTTTTCTCACTAAACGTCCTTTGGCTATAGTCGAAATCCATCTGTGGGTCAAAACCAATGGTACGATTTTGGAGCAGCTGCACCACCTTTTAGTGGGGATTGGGATGTTCACGGAATTTTGGCCCATGGCCATATATTTGGACCCAGACCATCTGCAGCTCCGGTTTTCCATGTTGGGTTTCACTGCAAGGTCTTCACGGTGGCTTTGCCTATCCTGGCGGAGTATGGCATCGCGGTGGGCGTGTATCAGGATGGATGGCTGGAGTGGGCCGGCTTTGAGAGTACAGGCCGGGGGCGCAATTGGGGCCGGGGCGTAGCTGGGTGTTTCGACAGGAACTGTCACGTCGACTTCAACCCTGGGGTGGTCGAGCTCGTGAAAACAGGGTCTTTCTCGGTTTTAGTCATTCTTGGTTGGCCAGCCGAGCATGGACCCTTGAGTGTCCTTTCGCGGCTTCAGGGGGCCTGAAGTGGACCATGGTCTACAGCACCAGCGGCTTCTTGTTCGCCTTGGCCATGGACTATGAGCCTTGGTTTCAGATGTAGCTCTTTTGGTTCCGAGAGACACGGGCATGTTCCAATGTTGGCCTCCGGTTGTTGAGTTGGGGTGGACCCCAGAAATCGTGGTTTCGTGAGAGCAATTTTTCGGGTCGCCCGATGCACGAACAAACAAGGAGGAGGTGAAACGAAACGGGTACCCCAAAAAACAAGAACTTCAAACAGAAACAAAAGGAACAAACAAGCGGACAAACTACACACCCTCTACACACAAAAAGCAAAAAACACAACAAGCAACAAACAAAACAAGACACACATACACACTCTACAAAAAGATGGACAAGAACCACCCCCCCCAGGACCTCTGTTGGCCCAGGACCTCTTCCTCTTCTCCCGGGTCTACGAGCTCCGGCAGCGGGGCTTCGACAACGCCTCGGCGGTGCGCCTGGCACTGGAGGAGACGGGGCCGCTGATCACCCTGGCGGGCGCCCTGGCGATCCGCGCACTACGCGTTTTGTGCGCGTCGTTTTGGGGGGGGGAACGGGCCCCGCGTTCCTTTTTTTTTTGGTTGGGGCTCGCATGAGAGGGGGGGGGAATGGCAGATTTGGCCGTTTGAGCCGGGACTTGGAGCTATGGGTACTTGTAGTTGATTGTTTGTTTTTCTTTTTGAAAGCCGGTTGCCAGGTTTGTAAGTCCGGGTTCGGTGGCTTATTTGCCCAAGCAATGGTGCTTCGTAACCCAGTTTTTGAGCCAACAGAAACCAATTTGAACAAGCAACGAACACATTGGTGATGTAAGATCAAACGATGTGATTTACCGCTCTATTAACCCACGTGTCTGTTTGACCAAAAACCAGTTGTTGTGTTTGCTTCTCTTGTTGGTGGAGTTGGGCCATAGCGTTTGCAAGGTATATGAAGGGAAGCCGAAGGGGGGCCCTTGCTTTATAGGTGAACTGCTGTTTGGACAGCCCAGGTCCATACTTTGAGTCGCCATGTTGCTCATGTTTGTCCGGTTTTGCCTATACTGTTTGCTCAACTGCCTAAGAATCACTGCTCTTCGTCTACGACTTGTGTTGCCGGTTTTCTGCCTTTGGAACCCAATTGGTTTGCCTAGTCTTTTTCCACAAGGGCCAGCAGGGGATAGAAGACCAGCCGTTGCACAGGCACCATCATGGTCGTCTCTTTTGCCTTTGTCTTCCTGTCCTCCGTGCCCGTGATCGCCCAAATCGGTCTGGCGCTTACGGAACGCAGCGCGGGGTGCAAGACACTGTTTAACAAACTTCTGGCAAAGATGCTACACTTGAAGTTGGGACTTGGACGCCGCACGCTGACTGGTTCTGTCAGGGCTTTGCTTGCATCAGCCACTGGATGCTGCAGAGAAAGCGCGCGAAGATATTCTTGATGGACTTCTCCTCTAGCGCCAGACAAGCTAGCGCAAGCAGGGCAGGGCTCAAACCCAGCCCAACCCCAGCCCTCTGATTTCCCTTGACCAGGTTGCTTGTACTGCTTCGGGGTGGCTTTGGACGTCTACGTAGTGCGGGTGTGGCTGGCGCCGGCGGCGCTGTGCGTTTGGGAGCAGGCCAACTACTGGCCCGGAGAGGTGCCCAAGCCCTGCAAGTGCCCCCCGGAAGCAACGGAGCATTGGCCAGGTCTGAGCCTTCTGACACCGGTGCCCTCCCCTGCTTTTCAGTGTTTTTTGTTTTCTGCCCCTGAGAGGCTCGTGGAGCGTTCCTGAGTATTTCTTTGTTCTGCTTTTCTTGCGGGTCTTGGTAAGCATCACACTGTCAAACATCGAAGCATCGAGGTGATTTGGCATTTCTCAACAGGCCAGGGTCGAGATGTGCACGTCTGTGTTGCAGGCTACCCGAACGGGGCGCTGAAGGCTTTGGCCAACGACGAGGAGCTCGCCTACGGCAGCTGCAAATGACGTCGCGTGACACGCGTTGCGGCGGTGGAAGAAGCGCCGGCGGTGCGTGGGGTTTTGCTGGTCCGTTCAAACTGCCGCTCTTGCAAGTCATTACCATTATTTGGGCCAGTTGGGGGGAGTCAACCCGCACTATTTGAACCAGACCACTATTTCACCAAGAAACGGGTGAAGTCACTCACTGGATGACCCCTGGGTATCGTAATCTCTGGGATGGAGGTCCTTCGTGGGAGCCGGGCATTTGAGCCAGAGTCATGGCGCACCCCGCAATTATGACACTGGCTGCCAGCATTTCGCTTTAGGTTCAGCACATCGTGACAGTGGGGGAGCCATTGGGATGCGCAGTGGCCAACAGCTCCCAGGCAGCACAGAGCACATTGTGATACAATCTCCCCTTTCGAGCATTGGCACAGTTGCGCTGACAGTGGACTTGAGGCACCCTCAAGTTCGGATGTCCTTATATGTCCCTTCAACTTCGGATTGAAATGAGTTGTCTACAGTACGAGCAACTTTGATGCAACATCCCAGAGAACCCAAAGGTCAAGTGGCCGGCCGAACGCCGAGGAGTGGTGGCGACCAGAGGCTTGGAGGCCGATCTGCGGGGGTGAACTCAAAACATGGTTTCATGGTGCCTCCCCGCCAATTTGGATTGTCGCAACACCCTCAACCAATGCCTTTTTTGTTGCGGGCATGGGAGAGATGTGAAGCACAGTCTGATGGTTTGAGGAGGCCCGCATAGGAAGGGTTTCTTCTTTCTTAGTTCGCAGACGCTTAAATGTTGGAAGTCACAGGAGATCACTATCTCAGTATTCATTTGCCGGATCCCCTTTGCTTTCTTTTTGGAGCATTAATTTATTGACGGGTTCAGGGTTTGAGGAATGTGGCAGAATGCCTGGATGCTATCTGCCAAAAGGCCTGACACGATTGGAACACACACGGCGTCACCAGTATTCTTGTTGTTAGTCCATGTGGTTCCCCCCTCTTGAATGCAGTTGGTTTGTGAATTTGTCTCTCAGGGTTGCGGCACAGCGAAACTCAGCGAAGGCGCATTTGCACAACTTCTACGGCGCTTCGGAGAGCTCCTGCACGGCCGGGGGAGCAAAGTTGTTTGTGTGCCTGTCAGTGTTGCCGTGTTGTGGTCAGTTTGCTGGGGGTAGCAGCAGTAGCAGTAGCAGGTAGCAGGAAGCCTACTGTAGCAGGTAGTGGAGGGAGTAGGAGCAATAGACGTCGTCGTGCTGGTGGTGGTGGTGGTGGTGGTGGTGGTGGTGGTGTGGCAGGAAGGCCGGAAGCGAGCGTAGCGTGGTGTTGGTAGCGGCCATCTTTTCTCGGCAAGTTTTGAGAAGTTTGGGGAGGCTCGGCGTGGCCTCAATGCAGACGTTTGCGGACAGTATTTCCATGGCAAGGGGCCCATCTCCTCTCCTGCGCTACGAAAAGATGGTCGTGAACGCCATCTGCCCTCCATGGGCTTCACAAGGCTTCGTGCGTTTCCGGCACCTCAGACCCGGGTTCAGGTCTACACCGTCCCGAAGAACGGCATTGACTTGGAGATCTTCCCCTCCAAGGCCGGGGGGGTGCGCTCCAGGCCTGTGCATTTCTGTACGCGTGGTCCGGTTGATTTGTCCCGGGTCCGCCGTGCTAGGCGCCATGCGGGCGACCGCAGCCGCACTCCAAGGTCTACATCATGAAGGAGGAGCGGGCCCAGCCACTTTTTGCCAGATGGCCAGTTGAGGGTTGAGCCACAAGCAAAATTTGGGCAAGTGAAGGTTAGCAAGGTAACAGTCCCAACTAGAAAGGCGCAGCCGCATGTTTGATTCTTTTCCTGGTTGCAGGCCGGGTCTTGATTGCGGCGCAGTTTGGGAAGCCGTGGCAGGGCCCTTTCTTCTTGCGTCAATGCGATGGCAAGCGATCTGGATACTCTGATGATATATTCTACAACAAGACGTCAGTAGAGGGAACACTAGTTGAAACTATTCGAATTGTCTATCGTTGGCTTGAAGCTTACTTGTGAACAGCTCGCAGCAATGAGATCTACGATCTCAATAGACCAATGCAGCAGCCTCTCATAGATCTTAACATGTAGAGCATGCTTTTCTCCTACCTACATTTGCTTGCAGAGATAGCTTCTCTTTTCAACAAAAGGGCTGGGACACAAATGGCTCCGAGCTTCAAGCTGACAGACTTCAAACGGGTAGGACATTGGTAGGGGTCCTTTGTTCAGTTTGGAGCACACCTGGCCCTTCTAAGACAGGGGTCCGTGCACTCCAGTCTCATGGACACCAGGAGGGCGCCTCGCTGGTGCCAGTGCCGGACGGGGAGGCGCGCCCAATCCGATCGGGGCCAGGGTCCCTCGCGAGACCGCTTCCTGCTACAAACGTGTCAGAGGCCCCCGAGAAGTGTGGGATTCGCGTCACAAGAACTTGCCACAAACTTGCGCAAACAAGCCACCCCAGTTTGCCGCGTGGAGAGCGCGGAAAGGATGGCAAAAGCGCAACTCTGGCCTCATACCCAGGCTGCATTGGCTCGGGCCTCTCTTGAGGAAACAGAGACGTATTGTCCAGAGCAGGGTGAAGGCAGAGGGTTGCAGCATCCTGGACAGACGCAAAGGCAGTTTGAGCACGCTTGTTTTACCCCATCCAAATGGGTGTGGTTCAAAATTAATCCACTAGGGGACCGCAGGTTTTGGTCCATGTTTCCACTTACCAGGGTTCCATTTTTGGGTACCTATGTTTGACCCACAGCCAAATGCCTGTCTATCAGCGGGTCTGCGATGCTTGTGCCGCCCCCGTTGTGCTGGATGAAGAGCTCGTGGCAGAGCTGTTGGAGGAGCGTCACTGCTTCAGGCACGGGCACATCGGGTTGGAGGGCCAGGTTGTGAAATGGGTATGGGTCAAAATTAAACCACCAGGATATGGACCGCAGGTTTTAGTCCTTGGTTCCATTTACCAGGGTTCCATTTTGGCTGCCCATTTTTGACCCACAGCCAAATTACGATACATTTTGTGGATGGCAGTGTGATTCCCAAACACTCCCTGAGTGACCAAATGGTCCCAACAAATTGCCGTTGGTGGCATCGTCGTTTTTTGCTTCTGCCTGAGGCTCCAGAAGGACTGGACCCGGGCGGACGCGCTGTTCCGGAGGCTGGTGGGTCTGGGTGTCCTCATCGACGACAAGAGGCACACCTGGCATTTGGCGGAGGCGCCCAAAGAGGCGCTCGAGGCAAAGGAGGAGCGGGCTTGGGCAAAGTTGGCAACCAATCAACTGTTCCTGTAGTTTTTGTTTCTTCCTTCGTTTCTTCATGTCTCAAAAGTATTTTACCGGCTTGACGCGCAGCCTGAGGCCAACGAGAAGGTCTCTTGTGACACCTGCGGCCGGCGCTTCCGGTCCAGGAACAAGCTCTTCAAGCACCTCCGGGATGGCAGCAGCCCATGCCTGCTGGAACTGGAAGTGAAGGCCAGGCGTCTTCGAGGCCACAGCATGGCTTTACAAGGAAACCAGCTCGGAGTACTGTTTAGGTGGATAATATACAAGATTATACAAGACTTTGTTCCGGGGAGATCGTGGATTTGTGTGGAGTTCCCAAATGTTGGGGAGGTTCTTGCCCACAGCGTCTCCGCAACTTCATCTACTTGTCGTTCCGGGCCGGTTTGGAGGCGGACATGCGAAATTCATCGAGGGGGGGCACCATTTTTTGTTTGTTCTTTGCGGGTGGATACGGGGGGGGGGTTAACAACTCCCAGGGCACCAGGGCCCCCTTTTCAGGTCCCTTTCAAAGTACAATCAAGACAATTGCCCACATGGCACCTTCACATCCACGACCCCGGCCGCGCCAGGCGCCGGCCAAGGCCCGGCCCACGCGCCCGGCGCGTGCCTCGGCGCCGGCTCCGGCGCGGGCGGCGGCGGCGGAGCGCTGCCTGTGGGTGGGGGACCTGCCGGGGGCCTGGGCGCGCAGGAAGCGGCTCGGCCAGCTGCTGTACCGCTACGCGCCCCAAAACGTAGAGATGCCCTGGGTGAAGAAGGTGGCGACCTGGCGTAAGCCTTCAGCCCAAGCGATTTTCGATTTGCTGGCGAAGATGTGAGAAGTTGACGAAATGGGGTGGTCCATGGCCTACGTGGTTCCGCGCTTCCATTCTTTCAATGTGTTTTTTTGGGGGAACGAGTAGTTTTGACCATGGCGCATGTGAGCAGCTGACACAATATCTGGTAGTCCGTTGTTGGTTACAAGTTTCTTTGACATGTCGTTTTGTCCACGGCTCATGTGATGGGATGCTATTGCTGGTGATATCTGCCAAAGTTGTTTGTTGATTGTTGGTGTACTGTGGACATCTGTGGACCATGCGCAACATGTGTGGAAGGCGCAGACATCGGATGCCAGAGCAAATTATCAGTTGAGGCAAGGCGGCAGTACCGAGACAGTCAGTCCAGGAGCCTGGGCTATGCCATTGTGTGCTACCGTGACGCCGCAGAGGCCAGCTTGGCCTTGCGCACCCTGGACGGCCTGCAGGTGACCCCAAGCTCCGTGCTCGGCGAGGCCGAGGCCGGCGCCAGCTTTGTGTTGCGGGCGCGCCGCGCGGAGCGCGGGGACGTGGAGCCGGGCGTTGAGGGCGAGAGCGTGAAGCAACTGGACGACTTGGAAGGGCGCTGCGTGCGGAGGTTCCGAGGCCGGCCGCTGCCGGCGGATTTGGTGGCGCGCCTTCGGCAGGAGCTGGAGACTTTGCGGTGGCCGGCGAGGAATCAGCGGCCCAGCCTCTGCAGCGAGCAGTACCTGGTGCTACACAGCGCCTCACCGGAGGGCTACAGAGACCTCCGGCGCCTTTGCGCGGAGCTGATGGCGTGGGCAGATCCGCAGTTCTACTACTCCGGCATTGCTGTTACCAAGAACTTTGTGGCATCGCCCCACACTGACGAGCAGGACAAGACCCATCAGTATGCCGTTTCGCTGGGCGACTTTTCCGGAGGAGAGCTGTGCGTGGAGGAGGATTCCTCTGTGGCGGTTCTCGACACACGAAATCGCATTGCACGCATTGACGGCCGCCGCATGCACTGGGTGAGAAGCTTTACTGGCAGTGATCGATTCAGCTTGATTTTCTACGATACATCCAACAGGCGCGAGGGCGTAGCGAGCAAGGTGCAGGTGAGCTGACGTTGAAGATGATTGCAATCATCACTCCAGCATGTTGCCAAGCCCTTGATATATCTCGAGCAGCAGCAAGCAATGCCTCAGCTGTTTTGTTGGGTATGCTCAGCAACTCCACGAAGCTCCGCGTTTTGACTGTCCCTGTCAGGAATCCCTTGCCGATCGGACCCGCCGTCGACGAGTCCTGGCTGCAGCCGCTGCAGCCGCAGCCGTGGGCACTGGCTGAGGCCGGTGCGGTGTGCAGTCCCGAGTCCCTTTTACCCCCCCCGCCCCAAAAAGAAATCCTCAAAGAGTACTTAGACTCTGGGAGTAAATGGTGGAGGATGTTTCAAGTTTCGGTGGCGAAGACTGGGCCCATCTTGCTTCCATCCGATTGAACCAAAGCTTCCTTTTCCCTTCGGTTTTTTTGCGTCTTTTCAAAATCAAGTTTGGAGGAGTTTGGGATCGGAGCTCTTGGCATTGCGATTCCTTGCGGATCTCGAGGCATTGGACTGCTGGGCTTTCCTCCGGCGCCTGGGCTCTGTCGGGGAAAAAATGACACACAGCCGCGCCTTTACTTGGACGAGGCTCGTTTTGGAGGCGAACCAATCCCTGGCCTCAGGGGCTCGCCTTTGGATTCCGCGCGTTTGGATTCCGTCTCGCGTTTGGATTCGTTGGTTCCCCGCACGTGTCAAACCGACAGTACCAAGACCGGCCCAAACCCAGACTCGCCTGAGCGCATGGCCAGGCGGGTGAGGTCTGCTTTGGCGGGGTCTTGGCCGCCTGCGGCGGCCCCGGATGGCTTCCCGTTGACGTTTTGGATCCCAAGCAGAAGGATTTCCACAGGGAGAAATTCCCAGATGAACGCTTGCGGCCTTTGCTTTGGGAAGATCCCCGCCCTGCAATCGGGAACCCAAAGGATTGCTCACTTTGCTCACTTGGTTGTGTCTCCACTTTAAGGGGTGGTGGGAATTCTGTTGGTTTCCGTTTACCCCATCCAACCGGGGGTACCGCTTTGAGTTCGACCCAACTGAGCTTTTCGCAGTTGTGTCACAGCACACCGCACCCCGTTGACGGTTCAAAGACTCCTGTTCATAGGCGTCCTTTTTGGTTGGTTTGCCTAATAAATAGGGGGCCCCTGGTTTAGATTGGGTTTATTCCACATTGTCATCGATTTTTCCAAAAGGCCACCTATGCTCCTGTTGATCCCGGTGGAGCCATTTTGCTGCTACTTTAAAACAGGACGGGGCCGGGCGTACCGTGCCAAGCGACATCGGCGGGATGTTTCTTCACCGCAGGCTACTGGAAGCACGAAGAGCTGACAGAGCAGAAGTGGATCGAGACGCAGGCCTCCTCGCTGCTGGTTGTATCTTTTACTTGGCTTCTGGTGGTTTGGTGAGCTGAGTCAGCCCAGTTTCCCGCCCCAAGGACTCTTTTTACGCCAGGCAAGCTTGCTACAAAGTATCAGCAGTTTCCTTTGTAAAATGAGAAGCGAGGAAGTTGGAGAGTTGGAGATATGATGTTGCGAGCTTGCAACAGCACAATAACATCAGAACTGGCATCCGGAAAGGTGTTCTTGCGTTGCCCTCTTTGGAAAATCTATGCAGTTGAATCATTGAAGTGAGGGAACATGCGCACCAATTCGATGTGTTTCGCGGCGCTGTGGGCACCCCTCGGGTTGACTTGAGTAACAAAGCTCAGTTCAGTTGTTATTTTTGGCGCGGTCTCAGCCCAGACAAGGTTTGGTTCCGTTCCGGATGGTCCGGGTGTGCGGCAATGGTTCCAGAGGTTCCGGGTAATTAGCCTGGTGAGGGGAGGTGTAAGGTTCAAGGAAGGTTCCGGACTGGAGGTGTTGGAGCAGGTCTAAGGCTCAAGCAACGGCTTCCAGGTTGGTCTGGGGCAGGCCAGGTGGAGGTTCCGGGTCTGGGGAAGGCCAGGTCGGAGGTGGGATGGCGAAGGTTCTGCGAGGGTTCCGCAAAATCTGCAGGGATGCACGGGGCGGCTCTCACGGTTCCAGGGATGCAGTCCCTGGGCTATAGCTGACAGGTCATGAGGAAAACTCGTGCAATCGCTGAATACCCTAAATGACATGTGGATAGCATAATTATGTGCAAGTCTTCAATTTACCGATATTTGCCCAGTAGTTCCGGCATGTTTGCAGGCAATCTCCCCCAGATTCCCATTTGGGGATGCAAGACTCAAGATCCGCAATTCCCAAGATCTTGCAGTGCAAGAACGCGATTTCGAGGTATTTTCCGGATGCAATCTATGTTGCAAAGGCGTACGCAATATGGGGGAACCACAAACATTAATATGCAGCTTTGTATGTATATTGACATACGCATAATATATGCGCACAATCGAATTCGCAAGCGTGTGCAGATATATCATGCACAATTCACATACGTATACGACTCGCATGTACACACATTGCACAGCAACCCTCATGCTCTTCTGCTCTTGTGCCTAGCGCTTTTGCAAGGCCTATGGCCGGCTCTACCGCACGGGGGACATGGGCCGATGGAAGAGTGGACAGCTGGAGGCCAATGGGCACGGTTTGATTGGGAGCTTGGTTAGGAGTTCAGTTGAGCGTGCTTCAGGGTTTGTCAGAACAGGCCGACGATGCCTCTCTTGCAACCCGTTCCGGTGTGGCTTGTGCTGTGCGTTTTTTCTCAGCGCTCGGCGACCAACAAGACCTACAAAAGAGTCCACCATTGAAGTAGTCTTTGTTGCATACGTTCATGAGGAAGGTTCGAGATTCCAGAAGTGTCTCTTTCCAGCCTTTGCCAGCAAGCTTCTGACAAGGGCTTCAGAGCGCAATCTTGCGCTTTCCCGTGTAAAGTCGCGTCTTGCGAAAAAGAAAGGCGCACTTTGCTTTCCCAAGACCAGCATTCCAGGGTGCCAATGCTGGGTTCAATCTCGGGCTCAAGGTCCGACTTGGCTGACAGAGCTATTCGCTCTTTGGGACTAGGCCATTCAATAGGAGCCTATGAATCTAGGAGCAATACCTAGGATCCTCTGGTGGGTGAAAGCGAACATATGCCTCTGCAAAGCCGGGCCCAAGCCAATCCAGCTGACTGGATGGCTATTTCGTGGAGGATTTCGGATTGCCATCCAGTTCCTTCCTGCGAACCCAAGGTTGGCTGTTAGCCGCTCACTCCCTGTTTTGGTTGCTTGATTGCTCGACACTTTTTGGGACCATGTTTTGTGGCAAAAACTAGAGACTTTTTCGGGGCCCGGAACGCGATGGAGGCCCGGTTGCCGGCCAGGTGGTGGGACGGGTGGACCGTCAGGCTGGGGGGCATGGCCAGTGCCAAAGTCTGCGAGGGCAGCCAAGAAGCAATCAGGGCAACCAAAAAGCGGTTTTGTTTGACATTAAATACATTGTACATTATGCATTGTACATCACACATTTGCATTTACGACACTTTGCGCTATACATGTTAGATTTTACATTGCACATTATTCATGATGCATTATCATAGACGTATGCACAGCGAGCGTACATGTGCACGCATGCACTAAAACAAGGATGCTCTCACAATTGCACATGGAGCAACTGGAGCGGTTTTGGAATGCCCAGCAAAGCATCGAAGGTTTTAGGAACCTCAGTGTTGAAGGGTGTGCAACATTTAAGTATCATCTCTGCAACAATCATGGAAGCTGACGTTGGGGGGGGGGGGGGGGGTTGTAGATACTTTCCGTTGGGTGGAGCCTCGGTCCGTGACAGTCGGAAAGATGGTAAAGCATAGGGTGAGCGAAGATCTTGGTTTCATCATTTCGCTTATGATATTATACGGAATTGTGCCAGCTTTCACCCGTCATGGAAGCTGACGATGGGATGTTTTGGGATACTTTCCCCTTTTGGGGGACCTCTGTCTTGAAATGTGTGTGTGTGTGTGTGTGTGTGTGTGTGTATGCGCTAAACCTGCACGTGGGATGACCATCAGGTTCCCCATGATCATTTTGCGGCCGAAGGGAATATTGACCAACCCCCATTTCCCTCCCCCCAAAAAAGAAAAAAGGAAAGACAATAAAAACAAACACAAAACAGTAAGAACAACAAAAGCACACAAAGCCTGGCGGCTGGCTTTTTCTTTGGTTCCCTTCAAAGGCGAAGGGAGACTCTCCGCAAGGTGAAGATCCGGGGTGTCCGGGTGGAGCCCGAGGAGGTGGAGGCGGTGCTGAGGAGGCGAGCGCTTGGAGGGAAGGCGAAAAGAGCGACTGGAAAGGCATGGCAAGCGTACCCCCCCCTCAAAACCCACCTGTTTGCAGAATTCACTGGCATTTGTCGTAAATATGTATATACATATATATATACACATCTAAAAGTGCGTTGAAAGGATTTTTTTTCAAGTGCGTTGCAAGGATGCGTTGGAGAAGCTGTGGGGCTGCTTTGAGAGCACAGCAGCGGTGCAAGCTTTGGGGCCTCCGACAAGTGGTTGATAACAATGGTCACAACCTCATTCTGACCGTAAGTCCCCTAAGTGGGTTATCGACATGGCTTCCAACCACGTACTACCCCACATCTCCAGCCGACCGAGGTTTACCTACGCCGCCAGCGAGGCGCCGGGAGTTCCTCACTGATGTTTGTTTCCTTTCACCAGGAACAAGCGAGAAACCAGGTTTCTATCCTTTCTGCCAGGGTGTTTGGTCCAACCCTGACTAGGGGGCTTGGAGGCTTGGGGTGATTCCATTTCGGAGTACAAACAATTTCAAGCCCAGGGGCTCCTTATTGGAATACATGGCGCTGCGATGCCATCCTTTGGTAAGCAAACAGTGGGCGTCCTGGTTTGAAGACGGGCATTCCTTGTTCACTTGGTAGGCCTCAACGCATTCTGGGGCAGGCAGATCCCTTGCGAAGCCGCATCTTGGATTCAGGACAACGGCGATAGCGCCATGGAGAGCGGGAATGGCCCGCGCCCGGCCTTGAGAGAGGCAGGCCAGCGCGGAGCACCGGGGATGTCTTTCGCGCTCGACTGCGTAACTTGTTGAAAACAATCGAGGTTGTTGAGTCAACATTGTTGAGTCAATGATGGTTTAAGCATCGAACATGGAGAAACCAAAGCCGGGCTTCTGGGAGAAGTCGCCCCGTTTTCCCAACAAGACAGGTAGCTTCGTGTCCAAGCAAGAACCCGGTTCCTCAAGGTGCTTCGGCCTACGCACGCCGCGGCGATCTTTTTCCTTAAAAGGGCCGGGGTACTTAGCAAGTTGTGAGTGGCGAACCCACTTTCGGGGACCTGCAACTGGGTCACAACTATAAGCCACAGTTGCTCACCACCCTGGGGGGGAAATTAAAAAAACAAAACCAAAAAAAAAAAAAAAAAAAAAAAAACGGGTAAACTGAGGATGTTTCGAGGCTTTCAGGTATTTTGGGGGGTGTAGCAGCCGGCGGTTTGCCGGCTCCACCGGGATTTTCCGGGTCGGAGGGGCCGCCGGACGGAAACAACCGCCAGGTGGCGGTGGTGGCCTCCAAGGAGCCGGCGGACCTGGTGGCCTTTGTGAGCCTCAGGGAAGGTCGCTGGGTCGGGTTCAGGGAGAGGGGTCCTGGAAGGTGCCGTCTTTCAAGTATCATCATTCTTATTTGTCATTATTTATGATTCCAGTATTATTTATCAATTATTGTTTTTCCAATTATTTATCATTGTTATCATTCGTTCATTTTTTCGAAGGCTTGGCGGGGCTTTCTTTTTGGTATTGTTTCGATCTCCATTTATGCCTGAATCCACTTGCCTTGCTCCTGAACCCCCTTTTTGGTTGGCTTCAAAGGTTTTCGGGTGTTTTGCCTTGAATGAGGTTTTGATTTGCTCCTTGAAGGGTGAGCGCTTTCCAGGATCCCAGGGTGGAGGATCAGCCCGCCTGGCATGCTAGCTCGCTCTCAAAGAGCCGGCGCATGTTATATCGGCCATGTCCGGGCAATAACCGAGAAGCGACCAAATGTTTCGCGCTTGCAAATGCCGTGGTGCATGGGCAATCTAGAGGGTCGATGGTGTTGTCTGAGTGATTGAAACATAAGAGCCAGAATCTGAAATGCTGTCAAGTCGGACAACACAGTGTGTTGACAACAGTGCCAACTTGCATCAGGCCCCAATGAAAAGGGTACAGATCCGCGTTCCCTGCAAATCTCAGCCGGCTTTGATAGAAAGAGAGATAGAGATAAAGAAAGAGAGAGAGAGAGAGAGAGAGAGAGCAAGAGATGAAGAGACAAAGATAGATACACAGATAGATAAGTAAATGATTCCATAGATAAAGACATATATAGCTAATTGGACAGATAGAGAGATCGATATGTAAATTGAATGAAAGCAAAAAAAAACACAGAAAGAAGGACAGAAAGAGCAACAGACACAAAGATGGAACCAAAATGAGGATAAAGAAAAAAGGAAAGCAACACAATAGACAGGAAAAGATAGAATAAAAAAACACCATAGCTTATATGTTCTAGAAACTTCGAGCAAATCCGCATGGAAAGAACTTCCAATTGCTACGACCGTTCTGCGCGTTGTGGATTCATGATTGTAAACGCTGCGCGTTGCCCGCCTCGGCCAGCCGAGCGCGCAGCGTTTGTGGTTCGACAAGCAGCAGAGCTGGTCAAGTGGCGGTCTGGCTTTTCGAGGCAAGGGCATGGCGATACACAGGACCAGGAGTGAGTGATGGAGCCAGCAGACAGGGCGGGCTGGGCTCGGCCTTGCTTGGGTTGGTTGGTGGAGGGCCTGGGCTGGGCGGGCTGGGATGAGCTGGGCCTGACACTGGGCTAGTCTCAGACATGTGAGTCGAGTCTCAGACATGCCAGGTCCTCGCTTGGGATTGGACTGGTTGGGCAAGTCTCAAGGTAGCTGGTGCTGCTGGTTGGCGGGGCTGGGCTGCTTGGGTGGGTTGCTGGTTGGGCTGGGCTGCAGGAGGTCATGCCTTTCGGGAAAAGGCAATGCAGCTAGCCGCAAGGCCAGCAGACATGGAGGGGGGGTCCGCACAAATATTGGGAAGATTGCCTTTGAAAAAAAGATCTGAGCGCCCTTGCCCCCCCATGAGGCCGAGGCGAATAAGAGCTGTCTTCCAGGATGCAGATGAGCAGGTTCCCTTCAAACTGCCCTGAACAAACCAAAGGAACTTCCAACAAAACTCAAGGAACTTCCAACAACTCTTTTCTTGGTACTTCCAAACCCAAACAACTTCCGGCGTGCGCCAGGCCTGCAGGACCGGGTGTCCAGCGAGACCCTACGTGCCCACTGCCAGGCCTGCGCCCCAGAGGTATCCCAGGCACTCGGGCTGGTGGCGGTTGGTCGTGGGCACGGGTCCTCGGAAAAGACTTGTACGGCATGGATTGGTTGGCGTGGTTGGAGTGGTTGGGCACGGGTTCTCGGAATTGAAAGGCGCGGATTGGCCGGTTGTGAGCATTGATCTTTCACCTTGCGCTGAGATGCTCTGCCGGTGGCCTTAGCCGTGAGGCTCAAATCACAGCTCCAACAGCACCAAGCAACAGCACCTTCCAAGGGTGGTCAAGTGGTCAAATGGCACCGTAAGGGATCTTGGGGATTATTCGACAGCCTCTGGAAGTGGCTGGGAAGTTCTTTTTTGAGTTGGCGTCTGGGTTTCACCAAAATATTCAGATGAAGAGAGGGCTGTGCTTTCTTGAGGGAAGTATTTTGAAGTTGGTTTAAAGGCAAATAATTCAATAGGGGAACACCCACCCCCCGCCCTTTCCGGGGTTCCAAAACCATATTTTGACACATACCCGTGCGGTTGATTCTCCACCTTGCAAGTGAACCAACTGCAAATTCCGGCAAGTTGCCAGGGTTTCCTGGGAACTGGCCCCTAGAACTAGGTTTCCCGTGGTCAAAGAAGCCACGGGGGACGCTGCGCGTGCTGCGCCCATGCCGCAGCGATTCACGGCCTTTCCGGCAAGGCAGGGTGGGGGCAAGGCTGGGGGTCAGGTCGCGTTCGCTTAACACACCGCGCGTCCGGAAGCGTTCCAAGCATTTGCAAACCGGTTCGCAGCAAAGTTGAGTGCCAGTTCACCGTTTTGATCGCAGAGGTGTGCATGCACGCATCGATTTGGACCGATTCGCAACGATTCGCGCCGATTCGCGCCGGGTTCGGAGCCTTGAGACAAACCCACTCGATGCTGGTGAATCCCACCTGGCCGGCCCGGGGGGAGGGGGGGTTGGTTGCGTTTGAGTGGCAAAAACGGCTCGCGCCGGCCTGCGAGGCCTCCCACCAAGGGCTCCGCGGCGGCGGCGCAGCCGCGCCCCTGGCACCTTGGACCGCGTTTGGGGCGGTTGGGGCGGTTGGGGTGTGTGTTGGGTGGCAGAGGGCTACAGCTCAGCACACAAGCGCGAAATGCTCAGCAGTTTTTTTTCCTTCCGGAACTTGTCATCAACAGAAACCCGCGGATGAGACACCGTAAAACAACTGCGCACTTGCTTGAAGAAGGACAATTGGAAGCCAACGAATGAGAGTCACACATGCTGGCTTCAATGGACAAGTCCTGAAGATCAACATTCCTGCTTTCATTCAACTGAACATTTGTTGGTTTCTCAAACTTACATTTTGGGGCAGATGTCATGTTCACCACCACGGGTAATTTGAGTGTCACTGGGAAAGGCCCAGTACTTCCGGGTTTTCCTCCCTGAGTCAAGCCCCTGGCTGAAGGTGTTGCTATGGCTGCCATGGCCGAGAAAAAAGTGGGCGGTGTCCAAAGGAATTGGTTTCCCAAGAAGGCCCCAGGTTTGATAGAGCACAATTTAGCATGTGCGGTGACAGTCAGTTTTCAGTGCAGCGAGGCATTGCGATGGGCGGTTGAGAGCTCACAAGATGCAGAGACTGTCGACACAAATTGATCAACTCCGAGAGCTCCGTCAAGAACACCCATCAGAAGCAACTAGGTTCATATGGGTCTCTCATTATGAGCTATTTGTTTTGAATTTGGAAGCAAACAGGGAACTTGACTGAGTTTACAGGCAGCCTGAATCTCCCAGGGCAGCAGATCGGCGCCCGCCACAGGCCGGTATGGGCGGGAGGGCATGGTTGTAGAGCCCATCTTTTTGTGAGGGTCCAACCGCAGAGAACCGCGAATCTTGGCCAACTTCAAAACTGCGATTTGCTCAGGAAGCTTAGCAAGGCTCAGGTTCCGAAATGTGCACGCAGGCTGCGTTTGACCCCTTTGCGTCGGGAGTTTTGCTCTGCCAGGCGATCGGCGCCCTCACCAGACCAGCGCGCCAACATGAAAGGCGCCAGGGGTGGCAAGCAAGATGTGAGGATGGGCTTGGTGGGGCTGATTTCTATTGACCTCCATGCGGCCTTGGTGTTGACATTCCCACATGCTTGTTTTCCGCCGCCTTACGCGCCAGGGCGGAGAGGACGGCGCCTGCAGATGCTCACAAACAAGAGCGGGCAGCTCCAGCGCACAGCAAGCGGGCAGCTTGCCAGCCGGCCAATGCTCCGGAGGCTTCGCAGCCAGAAGACACGCTCCAGTCCAAAATTCAGGCCTTGCGTGATCAGATGCGCGAGCGAGCGCGGGCCGGGAGGGCTCAGCGAGCGGCGCGGACATTGCCCCAGCCGGCCAATTCCCGAGCGCCGGCAGAGGCTGACAGGCCAGAGGCAACTCCGCTGGTTTCTCAGCCGCGGACGACGCCCCAGCCACCTGTTGCCGTCTCTCAAAGGCCTCCCACAGCGTCTCAGTCTGCTGCCTCTCGTCCTGTAGGGACAGCCTCACCCCCCACGGCTTCTCCACAGGCAGCTATTGGTTCCAGGAGGCCCCAGACGGCCTTTACGCAACTTGGCCTAACTAGCATTCTCAATCTCGGCAGCACCGGCAGCTCTTCCCTTGTGGAATCCCCGTAAAATTGTTGCACCCCACCCAAAAGCGCCTTGAGATCCCAGGCCGCCTTTGCCCCTGCCTCGCCCGGTGCGCCCCACTGCGGCGCCCTCTGTGCGGCCCAGCAACGCCAAGGAGGCCGCGCCGCCGGCCGAAGCGGCCCCAGTTGCCGCCGCGGCAGCCGGGGCCGCGGCAGCGCCGGCCGGGGCCGCGACGGTGGAGGCGCGGGTCGGCCCCTGTGCGGCCCTTCAGAAGCTGGAGGTTTCAGTTGGCTGTGGGTCTAAATTAATGGTACCATTTTGCGGTAGCTGCACCACCCATTTTAGTCTATCTTAGTGGAGATTGGGATGTTCACTAAAAGTACGGGATTCTGAGCCATGGCCAGTTGCGTTAAACTCCTTGGAATATCGCAAATTTTAGTACATGGCCATATGTGAGCAGACATACTCGCAAAAATAAACCATATACCTAGAAAATCGCATGATTTCTGTGACCAACCTCCCTAACTCGCTTAGGGGTTTCGGGTTTAAGAGACCTGCGCAGGTGGTGGCCCCGGCCATGTGGAGCTCAGCGGAGGTGAGGAAGCGCTGCGTTCAGGCGAAGCCTTTGGACGTGTTCCGGGACCACAAGGAGCGGGGGTGGCGTTGGGGGTGTTGACCCAGGATCTAAGTAGAGCCCGTCCCAGTAGGGGTGTTTTCTCCAAAAGTGGCCTGAATCCCCACGAACAGGGGACACCTCCCAAAAAAAAATCAACCAGGGGTGTATGAATCCGGGGTGAACATCAATTCGCCCTGGGCGTGTTTTGAAGGGACCCCATTCTTTTGGGGGTCCGTTATTTCGACAGACACCAAGAGCGAGAGGAAAGCCGCCCTGAAATAGGGTCCCGGGGATTTGGAGACGCCCAGGGCAACGGTTTTCTGGGAGGTACCCTTGTTCCAAGTCTTTCATGGACTAGGACAGGGGCCCTTTTGGTTTCAAGACACTTCCATGATTGATGGAAAGAGGGTAACCTGAAAAGTCCGTCGGGCATGGATGGGATTGAGAGCTGCGGGGTTTGCAACTGAACCGTGAGAGGGCGGCCAATTGCTTGACAGGAGAGAGCGGGTAGTCATATTATCAACATTTGAGAAATTGGCAAGTAGATATTCTGCGTTTGTGTAGTATTGAGGACGGATGTCGCTTCTTGCCATTTTTTTGAACGCAAGTTCTACGTGAGCCACAATCAAAACCCGGGGTAGATGAAGTTTAGTAAGGGGCAGCCCCAGCCAGAAACAGCTGCGGCTGCCTTTGTATTTCCTTAAACGGTTCTGGGTCAATCATTTTAGTGCCGGGTTTGGATTGTGACTCACGTGAGTTTGGGCCAAGGACGAAACGCTCTACCGGCTGAAGTTCAAGGACCTGCACGCCGCGATGCTTGCGGTGTCTGATCTGAACCAGCAATTCGACAGCGAGCAGCTGGCCAACTCCAAGGCCGAGTTTTTTGTTTGTTTTTGTAGTGAATATATATATATATATATGGTACCCCCCCCCCATGGACCCTGGTTTGGTGCGGTTGACCTGTATTTTCCAGTGTTTTATGCTTCTTTTTGCTTCTTGGATTTGTGTCAAAATTGGGGGGAGGGTCGTACATGTATATGATACGCATGCATGCATACAGATGTGATAAAAGCAATGACATCAGCACCTGCAATCTGAAAGAGTTTGAATGCATCCAAGAATACAAGAACAACTCAGACATTTTTAAAAATTCTTAAAAATTATGGGATTCAAGATTCAAGATTCAAGAATGTGAGAAACTATTTTCTGGGAATCTTGAATCTTGAATCTTGAATCCCATATTTTTTTTACAAATTTTTAAAAATTCCAGGGTTGTCCCAATACTCTCGGTGTTCAATAAGATTCTCGGAAAAGTTGTCCGTGCAATCCAGTGGTAACGGATGTTTGATTTGATAGAGCAACTTGAACATTTTAGGGGTTGACCAGGATGGATGATTCTCAGGAAAGTGGTGGTTTGTGGGCTCCTCAATATTGAATCCCCAATCCAGTGGTAAAGCACTTTCAAGTGTTAGAATAACTTGAATGCTATTTGGGTTTGGCCAGGATTGACAATTCTCAGGAAAGTGTTCTGTGTAATCTTCAATATTGAATCTTCCATCCGATAGTAGCAAATTTTCAAGTGCTTGGCGATCCAGTGGACACACTTTCAAGCTATTGGTTAGACAAACTTTCAAGTGCTTTTGGTGAGCTTCATGTCAGCTATGCTCATGTTGACCCCTTTCCAGGAGGTAAACAAAGGCAGGTGCAACGCTCAAAAATACTGCATTTTCCAGTATTTTATGAGGAGGCGCAGGATCATTGGGGGTACTATATATGTGTGTATGTATGTGTATATATAGATATACATATGTATGTACGTTCA